GAGATTATGGTTGTGTTCAAATGGGTAATAAAGGTTTGTCCAAGATTATTAGCATGGGTGATGTTTACTTGGAAACCAATTTGGATTGCAAGTTGTTGCTTAAAGATGTAAGGTATGTTCCTGAAATTCACCTCAATTTGATCTCTACCGGGAAGCTAGATGATGAAGGCTACAATAACAAATTTAGTGATGGAATATAGAAGCTTACAAAGAGTTCTTTGGTGGTGGCTATGTGCAAAAAGACTCATATACTTTATTCGATGCGAGGAAAGATTTATAAAGGTGTTGTCAATACACTTGAAGATAATACTTCTATTGAATTGTGGCACAAGCGGCTTGGGCACATAAGTGAAAAAGGGCTACAAGTTTTGTTCAAGAAAGAACTTCTACCCGGTTAAAACTTGTGTTCATTGTTTAGCGGGTAAACAATATAGAGTTTATTTTCATAAAAATATTTCTTCTAGAAAAGAAAATGTTTTGGAGAAGATTCATTCGAATGTTTGTGGTCTTTTAAAAGTTAGAACACATAGTAGTGCACTTTATTTTGTTACTTTCATTGATAATTATTCAAGGAAAGTTTGGGATTTTATACTAAAAACTGAATATCAAGTTCTAGATATATTTAAGCATTTTCAGGCCATGATTGAAAGAGAAACATGACAGAAATTGAAGTGCATCCGATCAGACAATGGCGGTGAATACATTGGGCCATTTGATGACTATTGTCGCAGCCAAGGTATTCAGCACCAAAAGATAGTTAAGAAGACTCCTCAATAAAATGGCGTTGCTGAGAGGATGAACCGCACCATTGTGAAAATAACAAGGTGCCTGCGTTCACAAGCTAAATTGCCGAGATCTTTTTGGGGTGAGGCAATGAGGACAGCGGTTGACGTGATCAATTTATCTTCTTCCTATCCTTTGAATGGTGATGTCCCAGAAAGAGTTTGGACCGGTAAAGATGTGCCTTATGAGCACTTGAGAGTGTTTGGTTGCCGAGCTATTGTTCACATTCCAAAAGATGAAAGGTCCAAGCTTGATAGCAAGTCAAGACAATGTATTTTTGTTAGCTATGGGCATGATGAATTTAGTTATAGATTGTGGGATTCGGTCAACAAGAAAGTCATTCGAAGCTGTGATATTGTGTTTCTTGAAGACCTAACAATTGAAGACTTTGGCAAAGGTGATCAACCCGAAACAAAAATAGTGATCTCATTGACATTAATCCATCTCCTTCGTCTTCGGTGGATACTGAAAATGGGAGAGATGTGCAACCACCTCTTGAAGATATAGATGATGATGCTACTCCAAATGAAGTTGAGCACGAAATTGAGGAAGAGCATCTATCTCAAGAACCGCCACCACAACTTGAGTTGAGGAAATCTACAAGGGACCAGCAACCTTCTAGAAAGTATCCTCCCAATGAATTTGTGTTGATTTCCGATCAAAGGGAGCCTAAGGGCTACCAAGAAGCAATTGAGCATGCAAAGAAAGATGATTGGAAAAAGGCTATGGAAGAGGAGATGAATTCGTTACTTAAAAATCACACTAAGAATTTAGTGAAGTTGCCTAAGGGGAGGAAAGTTTTGAAAAATAAGTGGGTCTTCAAATTGAAGAATGATGGCAAGAATCTGAGGTATAAGGCACGTCTTGTTGTGAAAGGCTTTAGGCAAAACAAAGGTATTGACTTTGATGAAATTTTCTCGCGGGTTGTGAAGATGTCTTCTATTCGGGTTGTACTTGGCATGGCTGCAAGTATGAACCTTGAAGTTGAACAACTTGATGTAAAAACCACATTTCTTCATAGTGATCTTGAAGAAGAAATTTACATGGAGCAACTAGAGGGTTTTATGAAAAAAGTGAAAGAAAAATTTGTTTGAAAATTAAAGAAAAGTTTGTATGACCTCAAGCAAGCCCCACAGCAATGGTACAAAAAATTTGACTCTTTCATGATGAATAATGATTTTTCTAAAACCACTTCGGACCATTGTGTGTTTGTGAAAAAAATTTCGAATGGAAAATCTATTATTCTTTTGCTTTATGTTGATGACATGTTTACTGTGAGTCAAGATTACACTATGATTAACAAGTTGAAATTGGAGTTGAGAAAGTCTTGTGTTATGAAATATTTGGGGCCGGAAAAGCAAATACTTGGTATGAAAATTGGTCGTGATCGCAAAAAGGGATTGATTTAGTTGTCTAAAGAAAGCTACATTGAAAAAGTTTTTAAGAGGTTCAACATGGATAAAGCAAAGTCGGTTGGTTGTCCACTTGCGGGTCACTTCAAGCTTAATTTGAATCAATGTCCTAAAAGTGAAAAAGACAAGGAAGAGATGCAGAAAATTCCTTATGCTTCAGCAGTTGGTTCTTTGATGTACGCCATGGTTTGTACAAGGCCAGATATTGCTCACGCCGTTGGTGTGGTGAGTAGGTTTCTCTCTAATCCGAGTAAAGAACATTGGGCAGCGGTGAAGTGGATTCTAAGGTATCTTCGGGGGACTTCGAAGGTGTGTTTGTATTTCGGGGATGGTAAGTCGATGCTTGATGGGTTCACAAATTCTGACATGGCCAGTGATGTTGATTCTAGGAAATCTACTTCGGGGCATTTGATGACATTTGAAGGGGGAGCTATGGCATGGCAATCTAAATTACAAAAATGTGTTGCTCTCTCAACTACCGAAGCTGAATTTATTGCCATTACAGAAGCTTATAAGGAAGAGTTATGGTTGAAGAAATTTTTATAAGAATTGGGTTTGAAGTAAGAAAGGTATGTACTTTATTGTGATAGTCAAAGTGTTTTTTATTTGAGTAAAAATTTCACTTCTCATTCGAGATCGAAACACATTGATGTGAGATACTATTGGATTCGTGATGTGTTAGATTCGAGATTATTGTAACTCGAAAAGGTTCACACGGATGATAATATTTTGGATATGTTGACTAAGACTTTGTCGAGGGACAAACATTTGAATTGTCAAACTTTGGCGGGTATGGTTGATGTCTCCACCTAAGTCGGTAAGGGAAGAACTGTCGGATATACCTCCTTAGTGGAGTATGAGACCCAATTGGTTTATTAAAAGAATTTTAATTTGGTTTGGTTTGGTTATAATATATTTTATATGTTATATCTATCTTTTAGAAGCCCAATGGGTTTTTTATAATCAGTTCGGTACAATTAAGGTTTTGATAAAAAGCCCAAAAGTTCAAAATATATATTGATATTGTTTTGTTTTTCCGTGAGATCAGGTGCAGCGACAGTTACTAAGTTTTTTTTGGTGAGATTTGGTTTTGGGTAGAAACATAAAACTTTGTAAAAGTTCAATTTGTGGAATCCATTGTTTCCAAACACATGTGAAAGCTTCATCGGCAGCAGCTGCTTTTGGGTTATTATTTTGGATATTTTACAACTTTGTTTCGTAAACTTTTAGTCATCTATTTAGTGAGGTCTTTCATCTTGATTATTTGTGATTATTTAGAATTCACCTAGGGTGGTTTTGTGAGACCATCTGTGTCTCGTTTGTAAACGTTTGGAAACTCTTTAGTTGATAGCGGAATCGGTGGTTTTGTGAGACCATCTGTGTCTCGTTTGTAATCGTTTGGAAACTCTTTGGTTGATAGTGGAATCGGATTTCGATCCTGTAGACGTACCTCACATTGAGAGAATCATGTAAAAATTCTTGTGTTGTTGTTGATTTAATTTTTCCTAATTAGTTTTTATTCCCATTGATTGATTTATTTGTAGAAAATCATATATTTTTCGTAACATATTTTTCACACTGTCCTTATAAACTAAGATATCAATACAAGGACGTGAAAACAAGCATCACACTAAATTTTTTTTGTTTTAGAACAATTCACAGTCAAGGATGGACTTGTTCAACAATAAAATGAACACGATCACACTTCAATTTGTCTATGCACTACAAGAAAAATCACCTTTGGCGACTAAATTTTTAGTCGCCAAAGGTCCATTTTTAGTTGCCAAAAGTCGCCTTTTTACCTTCCCTGACTAAATTTTTTAGTTGCCGGTTTTGTCGCAAATAAACAGTCGCAGAAGGTTTTGGTGACTAAAAAGGTTTTAGTCGGCAAAAAGACAGGTCTTTAGCGACCAAAGTTTTGGTCGCCAATACTCAATTCCACTGTTTGAAATTATACATTTCGCGACTAATCTTTCAGTCGCCAATAGTTGATGGAACGCCGACCAAACTGTTCGGTCGCCAAAACAAATACTTTTGGCGACCAATAGTTTAGTCGCCAAAGGTTGTTCGGTGGAAAAAAAAAAGAAGCTAACTTTTCTGAGATTTGAACCACCAACCTTCCACCTTCTAAACCTTTAGCAACACACTCCTTCCACTATACCACTACAACATCACATGAATATATATGCAATATATATTATTTATATACTATATTGACCCGTATTAATATAAAACTATATTATATAAATATAATTATTTTTATGCAATATAATTTATGTAAAAAATAAATTATTTACTAAAAAAAAATTGAAGCCACTTTTGGCTTTAGTCGCCAATAATGTAATTTTGGGCTACTAAAATATTTTTTAGTCGCTAAAAAAATAAATTCCGGCTGAAAGTAGCATTTTTGGTGACTAAACCTGTTTTTAGTCGCCAAAAACGTCCCCTTTTGGCTACTAAACTGAATTTTAATCGCCAATTGCCTGTTTTTAGCTACTAAATTTTTTTTAGTAACCAAAAAGCTTCACTTTCAGCGACCAAACTGTTTTTAGTCGCCAAAACATGTATAATGGCGACCAAACTGTTTTTTAGTCGCCAAAAACCATCACTTTTGGCTACTAAAAAAACTTTCGTCGCTAAAACCCATACATTCGGCGACTAAATCTGTTTTTAGTCGCCAATAACTGTACATTTGGCTACTAAACTCTTTTAGTCGCCAAAAATCTTCACTTTTGGCTACTAATTCCATTTTAGTCGCCAATTGTGCTACTTTCAGCGATGAAAATTTGGTTTTTAGTCGCCAAAACTGCTTTTCCTTGTAGTGATGGTGTTTTCATGATCCAACTTCATATCCAAGACTGTCTTTCTTCGTCAAGAGATCAAGACACATGTATTTCACATTTCACAATTTTTATTTTGAGAGGTTGGAATTCGAAGAAATTGCCCTCTAAAACTGCTCATTGCTGCCAATAAGCCACAACCAATCGAGAGAAGCTCCTGCAACTACGCCGCCTAGAACACATAACACTAGCAAATTACCCAAGGCGTTTTGCTCCGGACCCTAGAAAACCAAGAAAGAACTCAATGATTGATCATTATGAGGAGAAATTTTGAATTCAATATTAAACACTATTGACTAATGTCAGTTGACTTACCTTGTAGCCTTTGGGAGCTTCTGTAAGGACACAGACAGTGAGATAACCGTTTGTTAGTCCCAAGAAAGATATGAGCATTATCATCCATCCCAGACCACCATACTTTGCAGTGAAATAGAATGCAGGGATAAACAAAACTCGAGATATAGTTGCAAACAAAAGTCCTTTTCGCGATTTTAGCTTGAGTCTCTCCACAAGGGGAATGTATCTTGATATAGAATCCCATACATTGTACATTGCTACCAGAACAAGTGCATACCTGAAAGAGGGAGAGAACTTGAGCCATTTTGTCATGTTGTAACTATGAATAGTCTAGGAAACTAGTATTGGATGATAAGAATTTGCCAATAAGAAAAGTAAAATTAAATCATGAAATTTATGGGATCTATTTTTCACCACTTACCATGACCCTAACTGGTGATGTGATTTAGTGTTTTCGAATAAGAATCCAGGGAAGATTGACAAAGTCAGGACAAATATAAAAAACAAGACCAATGCAAAGTCTATGTTCTGAAAAAACAGTTGCTTGCTGCTCAACCGCTGCTGTTGTTGTTTATCATCAGCTTCAACCTACATCGACATCAGAAGCTATTTTGAAGTTTTGTATATTGAAGCTTATTTTTTAAGTACTTCTGCTAAAAAGAAAGCTGACATACTTCTTGGCTTGCCGCTTCTGTTTGGATGCCAGCAGCAGCAAGGTCTGATGAAACAGTTTTCGACCCTTCTGAGGCTGCTTTTGCTCGATAGTACTTCACAATTGGTAGTTTAGGGAAGATGAACGCATATAAGAATATGCATAGAAACTCAAAGAATGTTGAGATTGCAAGGAACAACACTGCAAAAAAAGACAACAATAGTAAACATAATTAACAAGAAACTTTCTAAAATTGTTATAGTTTATCAAGGAGAGAGAGTTTACATACTAACTCCCTTGCGCAGACCATTACTAGATTTTTCAAAGACCGCTTTTGTGATTAACCTCAAAGCAGAGGTGAGAGCTCCTGATGCAGCCAAGCCAGCTAGGAAAGTCTGCAAAGTTCATTACAAGAATATTTATGAAGTAAGCAATTTTAATTCAAATAGTTGGAAATGAAAGCAAAAGTAGTCTAACAATTGATGGAAAGTAAAATTAAATGTCAAAATGCTTATTACTTGGATGAACTCAGGGCACATGAAAGACAGGTCTCCCACCAGTCCTCCTTGAACAAGAGCATCTGCAACTCCAAAGGTAGCCACGATGGCACATATACCACTGTAATTTCCAATACCACCCTTCCCGGATGTGACTAAATCCAACTTTTAAAACGTAAAACCAGATTGAATGTGGTGACTTATATATAGTTGAAATAAGAATATGGGACAAAAACAACAGTACCAAATGAAGTGTTAAGACTACTTACAACGAGGAGAGACAAAGTACCTATGAAGAAAATGATGTATCCGATCAAGATACGCTTCCTTGTATCGATCTTTGACTCATTATATGCAAGTATTGCCATTGTTCCGAGTGCAAATAGTTGATAAACAACGGTAAGTACCCTCGCTGGATGGTATCGCTTCAAATCCAGAGGAACAACTTCATCAAATAAATTTTGTCAACCACAAAAAAAAAAAATAATAATTAAATTGTCAATTTAGGCTTTGAATTAGTGATCATAAAAGTGATATTTAGCCCCACACACACCAAACACACACACACACAAAAAAAGATGGAAAATTGGAAATATAAAATGGGCTGCTTACTCTTGGCGGGAACTCCCAAGAATAGTAATCTTCTATAGTCAACATGCTGTTCCAAGGGACAAAGGAGCCAAATCCAAGAATCCAACATACTAAGATTGCACCATACTTTCCCTGAAATTAATATAAAAAATAAGACCATAAATCAATGTTTTTGTAATAAGATGTAACTAATTAACTCTGTCTAGGAGAAACGAAAGAAATTAACAAATATAAAGTTTTAGCCACAAACCTCAAGCCTAGTTGGAGCTTCAATTGTATCAGCAATAGCCATAGCTTCTTCTCTATATATAACAATAGCAATATTGATTGGAAGACAGAAACATAAACCGGAAGGAAATGAAACTGATATAGTGAGAAATTTTTTTTTTTTTTTTTTTTTTTTTGTAAGATTGTTAGTTTGTATAATATTATTACTCAGAATGGAATAGTGGGCAGTGATTACATTAAAAATGAAACTGCTAAATGTAGATGAATTCTATACGGAACTGGCAAGTCCCAAGTCCCAACCCTGGAAAAGACCATGAATGCTAACAAAATTAACAGTTTGTACCTATTAACAGCTTATCAAATTTTGAAAAAATTGCTGAAACAGTGGATTCCCGAGGCTCATACAAGAAATTAGCTTTTTAGAGACAAATTTATTCCGTCCTAAAAGTGTAATATTTGTCAAAAAAAACTTTAGCTAACTAATTTTTTTTGTCCCAAGGTTTGTCCCAAATGGAGCGTCCGGAAAATTCAAAAATTGACTTTTAAAGACAAAATTTTACATTTGTCACTATAAATATACTTTTAGAGACAAAAATATTTGATTGCAATGAGTTTTAGTTTTGAGACAACCAAAATTGTCTTTAAATGTCTATTACAACTCTACGGTAAAAAATTAGTTTTTGAGACAATAAAAGTCGGTCTCTAAAAGTTTTAGGTTGTATTTGGTAGAGTTTTTAAAATGTGATTTGAGAGTAGGAGTTATATTTTGAGTTTTTGAGTTTTGAAATTATGATTTGAGTGTGGAAAATTTATTTGGTAAAAGAGTTTTGAATTGAGTGGGGAATTTTTGATATAACATATGATATTTGATACAAAAACTTACAACTCATAACCAAACATACAACTCAAAATTATATTCAGCTTGTTTGGTTCCATTTTTTTAAAAACACTTTTCAGAAAACTCTACTTTCATATTTTTTTGTGTTTTTTTGTTTTTACTAAATTTTTTTAATATTTTAAACAATTTTTTTTTACTTTTTAGACATACCTAACATAAATATACTTAAAAAGTAAAAAAATTGTGAAAAAAACCTTTTAAAAATTCATTAAATACCAAAAATACAAAAAAAAAAATACAAGAATTCAGTACATTTTTTGTATTTTTATATATTTATTAATTTTTTAAAATATTTTTTTACAAATTTTTTATTTTTTAGATATATCTAAGTAAGGTACATCTAAGAAAGTAAAAAAAAATGTTTAAAATTTTAAAAATATTCACTAAAAATAAAAAAATACAAAAATCAAAAAACTCAGTTTTCAAAAAATTTAATATTAAAAACTCAAACTAAACACACTGATTAAAACACATAAATTTTTTTTAAAAATTCGGAAAATATTTTAAAAATTAACATATGTCAATTGTAAAAAGAAAAAAAAATTTGCACTGTTCCGGTCAACTGGCCGATCGACCAGTGGGACGACCGGTTAAGCCAAATTTCAAAAAAAAAAAAATTAAAAATCGCGTCTCTATGTGAGTTTTCTGCAGTGTTTTCTAAATATTGTGGGAGTATACTTTGAACATCCTATCCAAACATCATATTAAAATATGAGGATACAATCATAATTTAAAAAACGTTCCAAACACAACCTTAATTTTTAAGACAATCAAAAGTGGTCTCTAAAAGTTTTAGTTCTCTAAAAGTGGTAGTTATAATTTTTTTTGAGATAACTAAAATTAGTCTTTAAAAGTTTGAGAACATATATATATATATATATATATATATTTCCTTTTTGATTTTGTGACATTACTCATATATAACTTTTGCAATAACATTGTTTCTCTTAGAAAAAATTGTAAAAGAAGATTTTTGATCAGCAAAACAAGAAGATATATTGATTGCAACAACATACAACATAAGATTTAAATAATATTTTCTATATTTTTCCTCCTATTTCTCATAAAGCAAACAAATCTCAAAGAACCAAAATATCAGAACAACTTTCATTTATTATCAGCAATTATTCTAATATATCATCACAAACATCCAAAAGAAAACAATTTGACATTGACATTGACATTGATATTTCCAGCAAAAATCAAATAATCAAAAGCATAACAATTATATACATACATATATATATATGTCTTTTTTCCTTTTTGATTTTGTAACAGTACTCATATATATAACTTTTGCAATAACATTTTATTTGCTTGGTTCTTCTTTTTCAAAAACACTTTTCAGAAAATTTTATTTTTTTATTTTTCGTATTTTTTTGTTTTTACTGAATTTTTTTAATATTTTAAGTAATTTTTTTTACTTTTTAGACATACCTAACATAAATATACATAAAAAGTAAAAAAAAAATTGTAAAAAAAACCTTTTAAAAATTCACTAAATATCAAAAATACAAAAAAAAAATAAGAAAATTTAGTACATTTTTTTGTATTTATTAATTTTTTAAAATATTTTTTCACTAATTTTTTACTTTTTAGATACATCTAAGTAAAATGCATCTAAAAAAGTAACAAAAAAAATGTTTAAAATTTTAAAAATATTCACTAAAAATAAAAAAACAAGAATACCAAAAAACTCAGTTTTCAAAAAACTTAATCCAAAAAACTCAAACCAAACACACTGATTGTTTCTCTTAGAAAAAAAATTATAAAAACATTTTTTTGATCAGCAAAAAAAGAAACTATATTGATTGCAACAACCTACGACATAAGATTCAAATGATATTTTCTATATTTTTCCTCCTATTTCTCAGCAAGCAAACAAATCTCAAAGAGCCAAACACCATAACAACTTTCATTCATATCCACTGATTAATATCAGCAATTATTCTAATATATCATCACAAACATCCAAAAGAAAGCAATTTGACATTGACATTGATATTTCCAGCAAAAAATCAAATAATCAAAAGCATAACAATAACATTAGAATCAGCAATTTAAAGACAAGTCATTTCTTTCATCCTTCTGTTTTCTGTGTCTGGAATAATGTTGAAGTATATCAAGCTACGTTCGAAACCAACCTAACCTCCGTCTACCCAACTCGGCCTCCTTGTTTCCACCATCTGATTCATGGTTTTCATTATGGCTCTTGAATCCCAAATCCAAATTTAAATGGCTTGTGTTTGAATGTTGAATCGGTTCTTGTTTGCTGCCTACAACACAAACTAGTTAAGCATATCAAGAACTCGTAATCATGAATAATCCAACATACAGAAATCTTAAATTCAATAGCCAAGTCCTCTCAATTTTTCCTATTTGCTGGATAACACGTGACCAAGTGACAAATGAAAAAGGAACCCAGTCACAATTTTTCCTATTTGCTGGATAACAAGTGACCGGGGGGGGAGATCAAACATGGTAATTTAACTAAACATCTTCTAACATAAGGAGTTGAGCAGGAAAACATATAATTATTATAAAGAATAAAAAAAATCAATCATTCCTCTCTATCTAGGCTCAAATTTTAGCAACAATGACAATCAAAGCTGACATCTCTGATTTTAATCAATAATAAGCATACTTGCAACCAACATATACTTTAGGGCTATTCACTTGAAAAAGAAATATGTGCATTAAATCTTCATTGGTTTTATATTCTTCTTATACCAATATGGCATTTTGAAGTTTTCCCAAAACACCTCCCATGTATATTTACAAACTAAATTGCAAAGGAAACTATTGTGTAAAACCCGGGATACATTCTACTTTCTATTGAAAATTGGAATGTAAGAATTCTGATTTCATTTTATTTTTGGTAAGTAGGAATGTAAGAAATCTGATTAAGATGTTGTTGGCACATAAATTTTAAACCAAATTTATGTTTAAATTTCAAATACAGTCAATCACACACATAGAGCCTACGATAAGACTGTTGTAGGCAATCACTTCCCAAAATGATTAACTTGCTCCGTTGAAGTGTATAAATAAAATAACGTCGTATCTTAACGACGTTATTCAAGATGCTCAAATGACACGTGGAGCCTACGAAAGATGACACCTGTATAGCCTACAACAAGGACACCACACAGGATGAAACCCCAAAGATCAATCCGGTTAATCAGATAGCGCTATTATTCAAAATTTAAATGGCGCTATCATTCAATTTGAAATTAAAATATCATTCAATTTGAAATTCAAATTGAAGATGAAGCATTCCTATCACCTGATGGCCCTCCATAAATATGAGGACCATCACACAAGACGCGGGGATCGGAAAGAAAATCAGAAGGGAAAAGATCAGAGAGAGAGAGAAAGAAATTGAGAGCTAAAGAAGTCGTTACAAAAAAACAAAAAAAAAAGAGAAGCCTAGAGAACTGAAGAGCCTACGCTAATGGCGATGAATAGGTAAAGGGTTCCAAACCCAAGAATTGTATTTTTTGTATTCGAGGGTTCAAAACCCATAATAATTTCAATAAAATATTTCTTTTTTTTTTTAATTGTCTTTTATTGTTTATATTGTTCTTCATTAATTGGAGGTTTCATTTGTATAAAATGTGTAATTAACGATCTGAAATACAGATCGGAAATAAGAACCTGCTATTCAAATAATAAACACTGTTTAGTCCAAAAACTAAACAGTGGATATTTGTAACATAAATTTTGAAATGTGTTTAAACATTTCATGTTTTAAAATTTGTGTCTACAAATTCTGGCATGCCTAGTGGGACTTATTTCTCCTCCCATCTTTTGAAGAACAAAAAAAAATATATATATATATATAGTTGAAACTTACTGACGTATTCTTTTGTTATAGGAATGCTGAAGCAACTGTTAGGAGACAAACCTACACTCCAGTGGTTCTGAAATCACCAAGGTTGGAGATAACACCCATCACCCAAGGGGCTCCGGAGCGAATGCTCTTGGCTGTCCCAAAGGTAGAGCCAACGAAATCCTGGAAAGATGCACTTTTTTCCCCTGCCACCCAAGGGGCTCCGGAGCGAAAGCTCTTGGCTGTCCCGAAGGTAACTGGTGTGACGAAGAAAGTCACACTAATCCAGAAGCTGAAAGTTTGAGAAAGATTACTGAAGATTATGTGAAAGCGTCAAAGCAATACGCAATTGTGAGGGCTACAACCCAAACGAAGAGCTTTCTAATTCAGGCAAAGGAGGCTAATCAGTTTGCAACTACGACTTTTGTTGCAGCTTCAACGGGGGCAACAAAAAATGTTGTGGCCCAACTACTCAAAAGGGTAGAAGACTCCATTAAAATGGTGGAGTTTGCCCAGAAGAAAGCTTCTGTTGAAAACATGGCCATCATTAGGGCCATTGGGAGGAGGGTAATGACCCAAACTCCTGTTGATGGAAAAAAGGCTCCTGTTGTTGAAAAAACAGTTGATGCCTACGAACCGATAGTTCTGTTCAGAGCACAAAATCGGTCAAACCAAATCTCAGTCAACTCGCAGGAGCCAAAGGAACACTCGTTGGCTCGACAGGGTTCGAACAAGGAACACCCGTTAGCTCGACAGGGTTCAAATAAGGAACACCCGTTGGCTCGACAGAATAAAGAACACCCATTGGCCCGACAGAATAAGAAACACCCATTGGCCCAGCGGGATTTGAATCAACATCAATTAACTCGCTCTAAAAATGTAGGGACTGTTTTGAAAATTCATGAGGAATTTGCAAAGGCACAAACGGTTCCTTCTATGCCCTTAGGGGCTCGACTTAATATGTCATCCGGTCCAGTTTCGAAAAGACAAAGGCGAAGAAGAAAGAAGGCCTTAAAGAAATTGGAACTAAGAACAGTGGCAATAAATGTTATAGGAGCTATTGAAAGGGCTCTCTCGAAAGATGAACCCCAAAAACAAATTGAAAGTCCTGTCTTTGTCGAAAAATCCAAGGTGGAGGAGGGTAAGCAACCCTTAGGAAATATTTCTACTTTGGTTGAACTATCTATGGAGGGAATAAGAAAAGGGCCTATAACAAGGTCCATAACCCGTCAGGCTCAAAACAAAGCATCAGATGCTTCAAATATGAGTAATGTTGTGGGGGTTGATAATCCTTTAACGAACAAGATGATTCTATCTCGTTTGTTTCAACGAATATTGGAAACAATGAATTAAAAGATATCAACAAAGTCGCGGTTATGATGACTGAGGTTGAGAAAGAAGGTGAAAATTCGCAGGTCCAACAAGACCAAGGTCTCAAGGAAAAAGTGGTGGCCCTACAAGAACAACTCGAGAGAAGAGAACGGGAAATGGCTAC